TCAGAAACTAAATGCGAAAACATTTTCTGAACCTATTTCCAAAAAGGCCTTTCAGGCCAGGTGCAGTGGCTCACACCTGTAACCCCAGCACACTGGGAGGCAAGGTGGGATGATCCCTTGAGCCCAGTTCAAGACCAGCCTCAGCAACAAAGGGAGACCTCATCTCTCCAAAAAATAAAAAAACTGGCCGGGCACGGTGGCTCACACCTATAATCCCAGCACTTTGGGAGGCTGAGGAGGGCAGATCACCTGAGGTCAGGAGTTCAAGACCAGCCTGGCCAACATAGTGAAACCCCATCTCTACTAAAAATACATAAATTAGCTGGGCATGGTTGGCGGGCACCTGTAATCCCAGCTACTCAGGAGGCTGAGTTGGGAGAATCACTTGAACCCAGGAGGCAGAGGTTGCAGTGAGCCAAGATCACACCATTGCGCTCCAGCCTAGGCAACAAGAGCGTCTCAAAAAAAAAAAAAAAAAAAAAGCCAGGCATTGTGGCACACATCCATGGTCCCAGCTATTTAGGAGGCTGAGGTGGGAGGACTGCTTGAGCCGGGGAGGTTAAGGCTGCAGTGAGCCATGACTGTACTACTGCACTCCAGCCTGGGCAACAGAGACCCTGTCTCAAAAACAACAGAACAAAACAAAAAAGGTCTTCCAAAATAATATGCTTTTCCCAATTAAGAATGTCACTAAATTTGCATCCTTAGTCACAAAATGTCCTCTATGTACCCGTTCTCTTCCCAAGTAAGACTTACTGACTTTTCCAAGACAATATATTTTAAATGAGCAGCAATATGGAAGTGATAATACAGATTAAGACTTCTCCTAATTCAGAAGATGCACCATGCTACTGTGTTTTACTACCAGTTCTATTTTAAAACTAGCACCTTTTATACTAAATTGCACAATTTAGATACAAAAGATAAATTCATATTCCTTCATACAAAAGATGAAGAAATGAGGCTCATATTAATTTTGCTACAAACAGCAGGAGCCAATTTCCATGGGAGGAATGAGTGGGAAGGAAAAAGCAAGACCTCCTAGTTTGCAGGAGTGAAAGGGCTGAGACTTGATAGGTAAAATTGCTTTTAGGGTCTACCTCCCTCTCAAAGTGAGTAACCTTGAGAGGGGTCAGAACGCCTGCAATTGAAAACTCTTCTGACACTGGAGAGGGTACCCTACTTGCCTCAATGCTCCCACAAAAGCTAAAAATAAAGGCTATTAGTCCTCATTTTCTCACACACACAGAACTTGCAGAAAGCCATCTCAGTAGACAACACCAGTTTTTCTAATTTCCTTATTTGATAAATATGAGTAAAGAATCACCAAACATCTAAGGAAATCAGAAGCACAAAGAGAAAACTGATGTGAAGTAGTATTTCAATGCATCATATAAGAAAGTGGTAACTTTTAAAATTTCTAGCATTCAAGAGTGAGCAAGACTATGCATATATAAAATAAACTGCTGTGATGGACAAAGATGGGTAAGTACATTATATATGTTGTTTTGCCTCTCTTTAGTCTAGAGGCATGTATAAGGTAATCAGTTTTAAAGTATTATAATCCTGACAGTAAGAAAGGAAGGATACCTAACAGCAAGTGGAAAATGAAGGAAAACTACTCAGTGTACTATACTATTTACTTATCTTATGAGAAACAGAGATTCTAAAATTCATAAGTAGAGGCTTAAGTGTATTTCAAGTAACCGGGAGACCAGGCACAGCGGCTCATGCCTATAACCGCAGCACTTTGGGAGCCTGAGGCAGGAGGACTGCTTGAGCCCCGGAGTTTGAGGCTGCAGTGAGCTATGACAGTACTGTAGACTTCCAGCCTGGATAACAGAGCAAGACCTTTTTTTTTTTTTTTTTTGAGACGGAGTCACTCTGTCACCCAGGCTGGAGTGCAGTGGCACGAACTCGGCTCACTGCAACCTCCGCCTCTGGGGTTCACACGATTCTCCTGACTCTCCAGCTTTTTTTTTTATTACTATTTTTAGTAGAGACAGGGTTTCACTATATTGGTCAAGTGCCAGGTTGGTCTCAAACTCCTGACCTCAGGTGATCTGTCCACCTGGGCCTCCCAAAGTGCTGGGATTACAGGCATGAGCCACCACGCCCGGCCAACCATATCTCTTTAAAAAAATTAAATAAATTTTAAGAGAACTAAAGGGAGGAGATATCTGGGAGTGGACTCCATGGACAGGTCCTTCTAGATTTTAAAAAAAGATCAACTTAAAACATCAACTAAGCATAAACATAAATACCACTTTTACTCACACTACTGATATTAGGAGGTATATATAGTATAGTGAAATAATGCCTTAAATTCAGGGCCTCACTATTCAGGTTATTGAATTTCAGCTACCTATCAACTGGTAGGTAAATATAAGGCTATTCATATTTATGTAACCATTTCTCAAGTTATTTTAAGATACAGTAAGCAATATACACTACCCTCAGAAATAGCTGCTTTCGACACCTCATTTTTAGTTATCTAGGCTTCATGCTTTTTCTCAAGTATCATTATTCCCTCACCTTCAAATTGCTATGCAAAAGAACCTTATAAAAACTTTAGACTCAAAACCAACCAGACCCTCAATAGCAAAAGAGTTCCATCTTGAAGTACCCCCTCCTCACCTCATAAAGAACTTATAGACAGAGGGCTTGTAGATTGATACTGTCTTGTTCAGCAGCACAGATTAAACTACACATCAGCATAAAGGAAAACTGATGCATTGGATTTTGTTAAGTTCACTGCTAAAGATGCCTTATGAGCATCCTTTTCTTAATTTCAAATAAGGAAAACAGTCACACACAGGGTTATTTTAACATATAAAAAAAGGTCTATAAGTCACAAGGCCAGCTGTTCCCTTAACTCAAGACAATAATTTTTTAAAATGTCAAGTTGATAATTTAAATGTGGATCTTCATCTTAATTTACTTAAATCATTAGCACTTTGTGATCATTTTTTAAAGCTTTCTATGCAGTAAATAAATGATTCGAAATATTTGATTCCCTTTTTCAAGTTCTCATGTCACAAGCCTAATTTGGCAAATAAACTAAACTTCCACCCAACTGAACAACATTTTGAGTATTTTTAAATGCCTGCCTACTCAGATTTCCCTGCCCTTCAAGGAGCTTCCATTCTAAAAGGAAGTAAAATAAATCAAAGAAATTTACCATAAAATGTACTAGTAAACAGACTAATCGATACACAGTAAGCAAAAAAGGGAAAAATAATACTAACTGCAGTATCTGCTTGCTGTGCCCCTTTGTTGATCCTCTCCCAAATGCTAAATAAATCTCCAGGAAACCAGAGATCAACTAGGATTTGTTACATGACAATTTTACAATAAAGGCTTTTCGTCTTTTAATTCCAAGTTTATCCGTACCTGAAGTTAGGCAGGAAACCAAAAGGCAACAGAACCTGTCTTTAGTACTGTTAAATAACTCCTAAGAACTTAATTTCTGCAAATTTATGTGAATTTTTGCTATTTCAAGGGAAACAGCAAAGGAGGTAGAGGTATGGACCAAAATTGCCCAAACTACACTGTATTACATATACATGGGGTTCTAGAGTGGAAATGAAAAGTGTATTCTGCCATTTTTATAGATGACCTTTAACATTGTTTATTTCTGGTTTTCCTCTAAGTATACTCCAAATATTAAATAAAACTGAGAAATACAATTTGTACATATGCTTTTCTAATTTTTCATGACGTGTTAAAGCATCTGTGGAGGCCTAATTCCTGGGTCTTCCAATTAAAGCAACCAATTAATATAAATACTGACATATTAAAGATATTCTCTTAAAAATGACATCATAATAGCATACAGATGCACCTAGCTTTAGCAATTTTGTGTTTGAATGATGCAATACTCTTGTTACACAAATTCCATGTTATTCGAATTTCAACTTAAAGTTAACACCATTAAATGAGCCGTTACATGTATGTTGGAACTCTTCTTGTATATCATGGTGTTTCTATAGTCACAAGACCTAATTTTACCATATGGAACCTACAAAACTCTTTAACAGATTTATTATTGTCAGCAAGCCCTGGTCTTATTCTTTAATCTGTGGTAACAACTTTTCCACACCAAATACTTTGTCCTTCTGCCCTGAAAACTCAAAAACTGCCCATCAAAAGTGATATAAAATGCCAACTCCTTTAGGTTTCCTAAAATTCTCTCCAAAACAAGTTGAGTTTGTGTAACAACAATCTCCTTTTCAGAATAAAGCTGAAAGCCTAACAAAAGGCAAGAAATGACAATTCATAAACATTACAGATAACCTTTATAACTCCTTTCTAGATCAGAACTTGTTGTAAGCCACTTTATAGACAAAGTAGAAAATCAGACAATTAAGTTTACAGTATATTATCCTAAAATAACCTTATTTTGATCCCATTGTGTTAAAAACCCATTTCAGGAAGCTATAACACTTGGAGACACTAATTTCCAAAATGGTTTATTAGGACTTCTCCCACACTCAAAGTCAAACTTCCAGGACTGTTCTGAAATGATGAAAGCTTGTTTTTGATAATCAATATAAATGTTAATCCAAAATAGAACTAAACCTGCACTAAATGACCTAAAGAATCTTGTCCTGATGGAAGTGGCCAAACTGCTCATTCCCCAACCAAGAAACCCTAGGGGTATAAGCCAAAACCCACAAATATATTGACAAGTCCCCAATTCTTTCCAAATTATCACTAACTTTATCAAATCCAATGGTAAGTATGTGACAACAGAATGTTTCCATCAAAAATTAAGACCAGCCTAATGAATTTATTCTATTCATCTTCCAGTAATGTGATTGCAACTGAGGATATCTTGGGCAATTTTTCACCATTGGCCAGTTACTTCGAATGTATGGATAATCAAAGTGCGACAGACCTCTAAAGATTCCAAGTGTCTACTTAAAAGCTGTTAAGTGAAAAGTGATGAAATGGAGGACACCCACAATAATTCTTGGACTCCTGGAGATCCTAAGACATGCTACAAAAATAGGTCTTTATTCTTAGGAAAATATAGTCAGAGCTAGCTTCCTTATGCTATACATAAAATCTTAACATCAGAGGCAGTACAGATAGTACAGATAGTTTTTGAACTGATCTCCAAACAAGCACAAAACCACTACGTTGAAAAGAACAGGTAATTTGAGGTTTTTGGCAAAAGACAGTACTTCACACATCTAATCCAAATCAAAGGGCCTGCAGACAGTTTTCAGTGAGATGAAAGGAATGAAATAAATATAAATTCTACGGATAAATAAATGTAAAAGACAATTTAAATAAGCTAACAGAACTAATTTTTTTAAATAAAAATACTAGTCAGGTACAAGCTTTTGTTTCTCAATGCCAGACTTCTAAATATTTACCAGACTACTGTTAACATTAAAAACCTAACCTTTGACCCAGAGCGTTAGTAATAATACTGGTTTGCATCTGCACAATTTTCAAACTGAATGCTTCTGGTCCTGAAGAATATTTTAGGTGTATTACTGAAGGCAGACTGTGGTGCTAATTTAAGTCTTAAATACTTTTAAAAAGTGACAGACCCCAAAAGTCCATCTAGTAATTTGCTAGTTAAAAAATGCCTGTGAGCACTGCTTCATAATTAGCATCTTAAGAAAGTAGTGGCATGCCCTATTGAGTGGTATGATCACTGAGTAATTAATACACCTTAAAACAATATCCCCACAAGTCTGTTTCTTTTATGTATTTGTCAGTTAAGTTCTTTAGTCATTAATTTTACACCCACCAATGAATTCCTATGGCCAGATGAAAATTTTGTGGTATACACAGTTAGAGAGAAAATGATCATGGTGGGTATTCCTGTAAGTTTTACGAACTTGAGAAGCTTTAGCACCCTCTCCTAAATGCATGAAGCCCTTCTATTTAATTTCTCCCCTTAAAATAGAGACTACGTATGATACTCTGTAATAATATGGGATCTTTTGCTATGTTTCTGACAACTTTTGGCTTCACAGTCAAAAAAGCTGTTCCAAATGTGTCAATTTTGCCTATCTAGCTTGATGTTCATTCTATTCTTTAAAAACTTTTATATACAATAACTCAGATCACCACCCCATCAATCCATTTCTATGTTGTTCCTATTTTATCATGAGGAAACTACATTTTAAGTCAGATTTGCAGTAACTGGTAGAAAAGTTTCTTAAGCTAACATTGCAATCATGAGTGTACAACAGTTTTGTGTGTGCACAATTTTCCCTTCATTTTTAACATCTGATTCAGTTGCAATGGCCGAAAACCTTCCACAAAAAGCATGCTTGGGAGAATATATCTAACAAAATTTTCTCACAAAGCAACTTTCTGAAAACTGATAAACTAAATTTGTGATCACTTTTGATTGCCAAGTAGTCTGCAGAAACAAAATCTTGCGTCTGTTTTGGTTAGATAACTTAAGTTTTCTTTTTAACAATCAGAATGCTTTAAGAATACATTTTTTACCCCAAGGAAGGGACTTGACTCTTGGATTTAAGATCCTTTCCTTGACAATATATACAAAATTTCTTTGACTTATCACTGTCCATTCTTTGAAGCTGTCAAAGCCAAGAACCCATAAACAAATCACAAATAGCAATAACCTACATTAGTTAACATTCCCCCTTTAACATGTTGACATTTTTACTAAAGGATTAGTTATTTTTGCATTTCCATTTCTCATATCCCATGACATTCCATATAAATTGCATTATTGCTTTATAGGCCACACAACATTCAAAAGTATGTTTATATGCATTGCCTGTTTTCCTTGATCTGATAAGACTTTGATACTGATTTTACTACAGAAATTTAAGTTTGAAAATACCACAGTTAGTATTTCTTCTCAGAACGTTAATTGTTCACATCACTAATCACTACATGCATATTTAGCTCTGATTATATTGCTCAAAAACTGCACCCATTATCAGAACAGTGCAAATGATATTTAATTTTAAAAGTAATTATAATGGCTTGAATTCAAAGTCATTCAAATGAACACTGTCAAGTAATTTCACTTGATGTGTATATATTTCATCACCACTGTTTACATTACCCTTCTTTAAGTATAACCATCAATTCTTCACAATTTCTTTTTATCAGTTTCCCTCCCAAGTCCCCAAACTAAGAATGCCAAATAGTCTTGAAAACCCAGAGCTCCATATTTTAATGTTTTCTTGAGAACACATTTGTGAACTCACAAAAGTGTTCATCTCTCAACTTTGACAATGCAGTTCTTACTTGAAGTAAAACAAACCTGTCCTAAAATCCCAACAAATAATTCTGAGAATTAACTTAAACACCTTGACAGTGTCCCTTAAAAATGCTATGACAGTAAAGTGCCAATAGGCATGGCAATGACCTCTTAGATGGGATCATTTAACTCCTCGGAACTGGGAAATGCCAGCACCAAGGATTACACTGAGATTCAATTTTACTGAAGGCTACATTTAGTTTACCCACTTTCCACAACCTATTATATTATGTTAGAATGAAATGTAAATGTTTTGTGTAGCCCTCAAACTTACACTAAGTTTTGAGAGAGATGTACTTTAAAAAAGCACGGGGTAATATATAAAATCAGTGGCAGAAAGTTTCATTAAGCACCAGGAACTAATTTTTGTCACCCCATACTCATTTTGTAGGTAAGTTTCAATAACCGGCAAGGCACATTTACATATATTCCAATGAATACTTATTGACAAATTTTAAATTACACTCTATGTCCCAGCTATCCCAGTAACTGACATACAACATACTAAAATGATTTATTTAGATAACAAAAAACCAATTAATGTGAAACATACAGGCTATTGGCAACCACTATTCTAAAATTATGTAAGTACAAATAAACATACTGAAATGTGTGCAATTCTAAGTTTTTAAACCAGAAGATTTCTACACTAACACACATTTATATTAATGACACATAAAAAAAATAAAAACTTTATTACAAAAATAAGTTACACTCGCCTCCAGCTTACAGTATAAAACAATTTTATTTGCAGGAATGCAAAATGATTGTTTGCCATGAGCATTTTGAACATATGACATGTCTAATTTTCTTGTTAAATTTGCATTTACTGGGGAACTGGTGTGTATAAAACCTTAATTAAGTATAAGCTCTGATCTTCATCGTGGTGCCTATTGGGTATGTGATATAACTGCAGTATCCCTTTGGGGAAGGGGAGA